TTGACTTTTGGTCCCTTTTCTATCCCTCACCTCAAAGTAAAATTCTTGTAGCAGTAATACCCAATGAATCAACCTCGGTTTCACATCCTTCTTTGCCATCAAATATCTCAATGCTGAATGGTCAGTATGCACTATAACGTTACTACCTAGCAAATAGGAGAAAAAATTTTCAAAAGCAAAGACTACTGCAAGGATTTCTTAGTAATTCATTGTGTAGTTCTTCTGGGCTTCATTTAGGGCTTTACTAACATAGTAAATGGGGTAAAGGATTTTGTTTCTTCTTTGTCCCAATACAACACCAAGAGCAACCCCACTAGCATCGCACATCACCTCAAATGGAATGTTCCAATCTAGAGAAATAACGATAGGTGCTGACACCAATTTTCTTTTAGCTCGCCGAATACTTTAAGACAAGATTCATCAAAATAAAATTTACAATTTTTCTCCAACAATTTGCACAACAGATGCACAATTTTTGAAAAATCTTTGATGAATCTCCGGTAAAAACCTGCATGCCAAAGAATGTTTCTCACAACTTTTACAGAGATAGGTGGGGGGAAGTCTCTCTATTACCTTGACTTTAGCTTGATCAACCTCTATGCCTTTTCTAAAATGTGATGACCCAAAACAATACCTTCTTTCACCATGAAATAGCATTTTTCCCAATTTAGTACTAAATTGCAGTCTTCACATCTATTAAGGACTTCAAATAAATGGCTCAAACACTGCTCGAAGGATTCACTAACCACAGAAAAATCATCCATAAAAACTACAATAGTATCTTCCACCATGTCGGAGAATATCGACATCATACATCTCTGAAATGTGGCGGGTGCATTGCACAACCCAAACGGCATTCTCTTCAATGCAAAGGTCCCATATGGACAAGTAAAGGTAATTTTCTCTTGATCTTCTGGTGCAATAGGAATCTGATTATACCCCGAATATCCATCAAGAAAACAGTATCACCCTTTTCCGGCAAGTCTATCCAAAATCTAATCCATGAAGGGCATAGGAAAATGGTTTTTTTCTGTCCATGCATTTAATTTATGATAATCTATACACACCCTTCATCCAGTAACCGGTCTCATTGGAACAAGTTCACTTTTCTCATTGGGGACCACAGTCATTCCCCCTTTCTTAGGTACACACTAAACAGGGCATACCCAACTACTATCGGCGACCGGATATATTACTCCGGCATCCAACCATTTAATGATTTCCTTCTTCACGACCTCTTGCATAGGTGTATTTAAGTGTCTCTGGTGCTCAGTACTTGGCTTATGATCGGGTATGAGTTGGATTTTATGAGAACAAATACAAGGAGGGATCCCAATAATGTCTGCAATAGTCTACCCAGTGGCTCGTTTGACCTTTTTAGCACTTTCACCAAACTCTCAACTTGTTGTTCATTCAGGTCTGATGCAATTATTACCGGCATAGTGTCACCATTTTCTAAGAATTCACACCTGAGATGAGGTGGGAGAGCTTTAGTTCTAACTTTGGAGCCTCCTCTATAGACGGTTTCGCGGGTGGAGACTCCCGATTCTTCATGTATAATTCATATTTCTTTGACTTAAACCGAACATCACCACAATCAAGAGCCGCGAATAATGACCTATACTCTTCAATGCAATCGTTATCAAAATTCATTATCACTGCTGCTAATGTTTCTACACCTATACGTTCTTTAATTTGTGTCTCGGATGACTTACCAACTTTATAGGATATAGCAAATACCGATTGGAGCTCACCTCTCTGCCTCATAGACCAATAAATGTTGAAGGTCACTTCTACATTGTTCAACCAAAATTTCATCTGCCCCTTTTCCATATCAACTAAGGCTCTACCCGTATAAAGGAATGACCTCTAAAGAATAATAGGTACTTCAAAATCGACTTTATAATCAAGAATAACAAAATCTGCCAGAAATATGAACGACTCCACTTTTACTAGCACATCTGGAGTATCCCTATAGGACTTTTTACTATTCGATCGGCCATCAGCAGCCGCATCACAGTGGTCTTTGGATCACCCAAACCCAACTTCTTGTAAATCGAGAGGGGCATAAGATTTATGCTTGCCCCCACCTCACATAATGCTTTCACAAAATGTAATAACCCGATTGTACAAGGAATAGTGAACGCACCCGGATCTATTTTCTTTTGTACTAGAGATCTTATAGCAATAGCACTGTAATGCTACACTCTATCATCGTCCTCAAAAGTGACCGATCTTTTCTTTGTAACCAGATCTTTTGTTCTAAAGCTTCTACAAAAGGGACATTAATAGAAAGTTGCTTCAACATTGTTATAAAACGTTGATATTTACCATCCTCGGTCTTTTTCACTAATATCTTAGGAAAGAGGCGGGGTCTAGGCATGGGAGTTACCTTTTTAGGCACTTCAGCATCGTTTCCAATGTTATCTTCTACTTTACCACTAACCTCTACCACTTTATCATTATCTTTTTTCACCTTTTCCTTATTAGACGGCATAAGTGGATCAATGGTTTGCTTATCACCCCGAGTAGTGATTGTTATATAGTGTCCATCATTTTTCGAACTTTAGACAGTGTTTCTAGGAAGAGTGCCCGGTTGCCGTGTGTTCACAGTCGCAGATAATTGGGCCATTTGCAATTCAAGGTGCTTAATCGATATTGCATATGTATCGACTTTCTACCCAATACCCGCTAAATCACTCCTTAACTCTTTAGTGTGCTCATCACTAGCATCAAACCTCCTTATCATTTTGTGCAACATATCCTCAACTCGCGCCATACTACCTCCACCATCCCTAGGATCAACTTCACGATTTTGATGAGGAACATAGGGCTCATTCCTATCATTTTTGTTACTATAGTTACCCCTGTTGAAGTTGTTGTCGCGGTTGTAGTTTTTATCGCGGACATAATTACCATAATGATTATAGTTACCATAGTTCCGACCTTTTTTTCCTTGACCTTGGCGCTAATTCTCCTGATTTGAGCCTTGGGCATTCGATCGAAAACCCCCGTCTGCTCATTTACCGCATAGGAATCCTCCTCATAATAATATTCATCATTTGGTGGTAGTGGTTTAGGCAAGTAGTTCATTGCATTTATCTTTTTTTGCACCCCTAGTTCTCATCTAAGCCATCTCTTCACAAATCTCATCTGTGGTTGGGTTGTTTATGGATTGCACTGCGAAGGTATTTCTTCCAGCATCTGACTTCCTAGTACTCCAAGCTTTATTATTCCGGAAAATTTTCTCTAACTTTTTGTTAATCTAAGCATAAGGGCACTCTCTATAAGAACTACCCGCTATAGTATCCAATACCGCTTTATTATTATCATTCTTTCACCGATAGAAGTATTCCTTCAGTGACTTCTATGCGGTGATTGGAGACACTTCTCAAGAATGAAGTGAATCTATCCCAAGAACGACTAACTGACTCTCCTTGTAGTGCCACAAAGTTATTCACTCTGTCTTTGTGATTTAGTTTCTTGGAGAACAGGTAGTAACGTGCTAAAAAAACGTCCCTTAGTTGGTTCCAAGTGAAAATTGAGTTATAAGGGAGCTTAGTGAACCGAATAGCAGCCTTTCCCGTCAGTGAAAGAGGAAATACTCTTAGCCATATCACATCAAAATTCAAATCAGGCCTCGCTACATAGATTTTATACACTGCCCTTACCTTAGCTATATGGACATGTGGTTCATCAGAAGGTAGCCCTGAAAACAAATCTCTAGCAGTGAGTATTTGCATCCGACTACTAGTTACCACAAAGGTGTGGCCTTGTGGTAGAGAGGGCAAGACAAGTGGCCCATCAGAGTCTACAATATTGTCATAACCTCTGTAGTATTCTTGAGGACGTGGAGCGGGATTTTATCCCCTTTGTTGATTTTCACCATGATTATTGAGTAATAACTGACCATGAGCATCAACTGGAGCTAGGATGTTCTGGTTTGGATCATCATCGTTAGTACCCAAGTTTTGATTCATATTGCATAGTGTACGCTCTAATTCATGGTCGTAGGAAAATAAGGGTTCTCTTCCTCTCCGTGTATTTGGCATACAAGGAAGTTAGTTCTGCAAGAATAAAAAACAATAGAAAAGTAAAATAAAGAAAATATTGACCAAACTTTATTAATAAGTTTAAGTTAACCTAAAAGTTATTTTCTCCGGCAGCGGCGCAAAAATTTGATAAGCTCAAACTTAATTCTCAAATAAGAAGTAAAGTGGTCGTACCAAGTAAAGAACCCAACTAATGAGGTTGGGGTCGATCCCACGAAGAAAATAGTTCAGACTTAACTTTACTCTATTATTACTATTATTTAGTCAACTATTTCCTTAGAAGACAAAAGACAAAAAAGGGGGTTTTAAACTCTAAATTAGTAAAAATAATTAACTAAATTAAAGTAACCAACTAACCAATTCAAATCTCGAAGCTTAATCAATTAATAACAGTATTTAGGGCTTAAGTGTTCCCAACAGGCTCTTAATTTGATAATTCTAACTATAACAATTCTTTCCTAGTATCTTGCATGTAAAGTGATAAGTTATGTATCTCTAAATCCTTGGTCCAGCATCTAGAAATTTTCACTCCGCACCTTGGTTCGGCTATGTGCATTGCTATACTAACCCTTACCTTTACCTCATATTAAGCATTGTATTCGATATTTGACTAAGTTATTACCTCGTACCAACCGACACTAGTCTATTAGATAGTGTACACTAAATCTATGTTGATAATTCTTTTCCTATTATCTACCTCCTTGGTCCAGCGAGTAGCATTAAGGCGAGTTCTAACGTTGGCCATCCGTTAAAAGGACTTCTAAACGAAAGAATTATCAATACATGCAAGAGACTATTCTAGAATTGCTATTTTAGTTTGATTTTACCTCATTATTCACCCATGGTTCCCACAACCCTAGTTATGGAGTTTAGTTACCCATGGTCATAATCACACTATTCAAATATTTTATATAAGAATTCATGCACTTACTTTAATGAGAAAGAATAAAATCCAAAAATTCACTTGATTAATCAACAAAAGCACCAATAATCGATTCCAGAAAGAGTGTATCAATCACTGAAATTAATCCTTCAAAACTTGAACAAGAGAACTAAATATTCGAAAAGTCTTACCGTCTAACCCCAAAAACGAGGTTTTTCAAACTATTTATAATAAAAATAAAAATCTAATAAAAGAAGGATTCTAATTACTGAAAATCTGTCAAAACGCGTCTGAGTCGACGGACCTCGTGACGGACCTTCGTGGTCACGATGGGCTGTCATGGCCTCCGTCATCCTATACTTCAAAAATTCTTCTACTGCTTTTTTCATTATCCTCAACGAACAGGTATGACGAACCGTTTCAAGCACGACGGTCCGTCGAGGGTATCCATTCCATAATACTTTAACTTCTTGGAGTTAAGGTACTGGACTACTCTCTGATCATTACGACGAACCAACAGGACGGACCGTCATGGACTTCTGTAATCCAACACTTAGTCAGACTTCCCATCTTTCTTCAGCAGCTTTTCTCCTCACTACGATACCACCTATGGACCATCACAGACTCGACGGAACGTCATAAGCTCGTAGGTGGTCTTTTCTGCATTTCTTGCTCAAAAATTTATGTGTTCATCTTTGGACAGATTTCCTGCATATAAGGAGAAACTTAAATAAAAATCAATACAAAAAGACTTCTGGACACACACTAAACTTGATGAAAAAGTATTAAAAGTATCGTGAAACCACGGTACATCAACGATAACCACCTACGGTCCGTTGATGGAATTATGGGCCGTCGATGGCTTCGTGGATAACTTCTATGCTGATTTATACATCTCCGCTTTGGACAACTTTTCTGCAAACACAGATAGAATACATTAAAATTACTACAAAAAGGCCCTAGAAACAAACTGAATTTAAGGAAAAAGCATTAAAAGTACCATGAAACCACGGTACCTCAGTACAACTATGAATTTGTATATGAAATGTACTAAGTATGGGTAAATGGATAAAAAGATATAAACATCATCATATGAAGATTTAAACATGATATACACAACCAAGGTCAAACATGAGTCAAATCTTTAAAGGATCGTAAGTCATAAACAAGATCAATGCATTCTTAAAACATAATGAACCTTTTCATAAAACATTTAAAACTAACATACTTTGTTTTTTGGGGATTTTTACCATTGATAGACACTAAGATCATGCGAGATATAACATTGAATTTATGTAACCCTCACATAAAAAAAGATTCTACTTGCCAAGGTAGTCTCAGTAACACTCATTCATATGTTTTTTTATTGTTCCACTAGTTTTATCATTTAGGACAATCATACAGGGTTACATAGTTTGGGACAAAGATACTGCTTTAAGGCACCCAGCCTCTGCTAATGGGAGAGCCTTTATATCAAGGTCCTCTCGGTGCTAAGTAAAATCCTAATAGAATTAGTCATCATAATATTTATATTATCATACTTGGAAAGACACGATTGAACAACCAATCCAGTCCTAAGTCATCATAGAGTAGCTCCTAAAAATTATGATTCAAACATGTGTGTGAAAAACTTTCACAACCATGATTTCATAATATGTTATATACCCTTTTACAATTCATCAATACACATTTCATAAGCATTCTTAGTTTATAAACATTGTTTTTCATTAAAAAAATACATAACTTTCATAAATCATACACCATAAGCTTTACTCATAAAGTCATCATCATAATCAAGTAAAAAACATGGGTTTATATGAAATAAATTGTAAATCATGTGGTTCAATAAATTCATGAAACAAGTAAAATCAAGTAAGACTTATGGAGATTGCATGAAACCCTAATCAAATTAGGTTAAATTGAATTAGAATCTTGAAAATTATTTGGGACTCTTAGTGAATTGTCACGTACCTTAGTAATCAATGCCTAGCGAAGAAAGAGATAAGGGGAGACTTGGAGCTTGGAACACTAGCTTTTTCCTTGAACATGAGAGAAAATTGGAGAGGATGAACTTGATTATGAATTCGGATTTGAGAGAATGAAAGGTTTTGGGTAGTTGTAGTAGTTTAAAGGTATTTATAGCTCTTATAATTTAGGTCAAAATGACATTATATAGGTATCAAATGCATAGAAAAATAACAAAATATCTTTAAGAAATAACTCGGAGTGACCTACGGGTGGGACCTACAGTTCGTAGGACTTTCTATGCCTATTCAGGTCAACTGTAGAGTCACTTACTAGGGCCTAAAAATCCATTCAACTTCCACGAGACCTTTCTATGTCCCGTAAAAACTTTCTACAGCTCGTAGAGCTAACATGTAAAACTCAAGTTTAAGCCCAAAATTTCAATAAGTCTGGAACATTCCTACGGATCTCATCTACGATTCGTAGTCCAAATGACAATTTATAATGTTCACTCGTAGGTCAATTTACCGGGACTTGACGAATTCCAAAACTCAACTCAAGTCCTACAGTTTCCTTTCTACGACCCGTAGAACTTTCTATGGTTCGTAGATAGGACTCGTAAATTACTGGTTCAGTGCCAAAACTGGACATGTCCTTTTAATTTAAACTTTCCAATTTGTTAGGTTTTACACATACAAACTTCCAAAGAATTTCAAGTGTTGGTTTGCATCCTTTACTTCTTTACATCGTAATAGCCCCTTCATCTATAGTAGATGGAGAATCATAATAAACACTTGAAATATTGCTTTCACTACCTCTGGTGGTAGGCAAATTGCTCGATTCAAACCCAAATCCATAGGTGTTTCATCCATAGAAAATTCATTTGTAAAATCAGCCTCTCTTTCTTTTTCATCCTCTTGGCTCATCTTGCCCTATTTTGAGAAAGAACAACAGCACAAAACACAAATTCACAAGAACACAAAATGCACACAAGTTTGAATCTAGAAATTAATAAAAAAAATAGTTAACCAATCCCAGTAACGATGTCATTTGTTATAAACGGTCAATTACATCCTTTTTTCAAGGCATAGACAATCGTATGCAAAACAATTACCCAAGGTTATAGGTCGGGCTCGTACGCAAGGATTGAAGATGACAACCAACTAGGTTGGTCATAAAATATGAAAAATCTAAATTTGACAATTTGATATTTGGTAATCTAGTATTTAGAATAAAATTTTAGTATTACGGTACTCGGGTTTGGGTTTGGTATGAGACATTAGTACCACTTGGTATTTAGTATTTCCTAAATATCAAATTATTTACATAATGAATGTCATACATCAATATATTTATACTCATTGTACAAGTTCAAAGTGAAATTAGTTAAAGAATAAGCGTAAAGCATCCAAATACATGTCTTGTAGTTGTATCAAATTTTTTTCTTGTTGTCTTCTTAGTTATTAATATTCTATAATATTGTTTATCCACACAAAAAAATAAAAATAGTTGGAGAAATTAGTGTTAACTTTGTAAAACAATCATTTATAACTTGAATATGGTATTACCGAATATCGTACTAAACCAAAGTTCAATTTACCATTTACCGATCTAATGAATCTAAACTTAAAATATTATTATCTACTTTTAAGTAACAATTACTGAAGTATTGAAACAAACAACGGACGCCCACCCATAAGTTGAACTATAATAAGCTGAATAATCAAAATAAATTACATATATATAAGGGTTAACTGAACAAAAACTATACAACATAATATATATATATATATACATATATATATATATATATACATACATACATATATATATATATATATATATATATTGTCTAGGTAGTCTCTTATAGAGTCTTAAAAAATGTAAAACCAACACCCAGTTAAGGCAGGACCATAATACACCCAACTAGCACCCTCTAAACACAAACTAAGAGGCATAAGACATATACTTGTTGGAAAATTATATTCACAATTGAAGCATATGAAAATTATATTGCTTACATGATTAACAACATTTAATTTATGCTAGAACACCAATCATGTTAGAACACATAAATTTTCTGAAATTTAATTCATGGATTACCTCTTGAAGCGGGAACATATACTTTCAAGTGAATCCACAAATTAGTCGACAAGGGAGAATCTTTAAACGAATCCACAAGCTAGTCCACAGTTCTGTGCTCTTCTACGGTGCTCTCCAATTCACTTCGGAACTTTCAATACTTGGATGAACAACTATCGTATAGAAAATTTTACCATTACAAGGATTAGAAGAATCCCTATTTAAAGAGATATCTTCCTTATCTAAGGTGGAGAAAAAAATACCGTGTCTTTCCTTAAAAAAGAAAAAAAAACATATACATCTCCCTTTCCTTAAAATAGAAAAATTCACGTCCTTCTCCCTTTCTTTAGAATAGAAAAAGTGATATACTTCTCCCTTGCCTTAGAATAGAGAATGACATATACTTCTCCCTTTTCTTAGAATAGAGAAAGACATATACTTCCCTTTTCTTAGAATAGAGAAATACACATACTTCACTCTTTTCCCTTATGAATAGATTATGAGTTCTAGTTAAATATGGGCACGGTGGGAATCACAATATTAATTACAGAGTCTTCTTATTATAGAAATAATTTCAAATAATTTTTCAATTATTTTACCATATAAATTACAAATCATTTCACTAGAAATTTGTAATTGTAATCCTCTATTTATATTTCAAAATTTCCCATTAAACACATATGTAATTCCTCATGTTAAGATTACAGATATTGATCAATAAATTAAATTATTGATGAATTTAATTAAATGATCGATTTACTATAGATCACGATTTTACTTATTTCATGTATCGGATTCATAAATCCACTCGCAAGGTTTGACATGATGAAAAATTATAAGCTTCTCAAAAAGACATACAATCAGTCTCTATATCGAAATATAAATTCCATCAACTAAATTATTATTTCACCAATATATATATATTATTAATATCCAATCTACCAAGCATATTGACACATATTAGAATCTCAACTTTTAATAAATCAAAGTGATAGTTAACATATGCATATCATAATAGTTATATGGGGATTAAGAATATAAGTACATTTAATAGTTTAGAGAATATGTTTTTGTCAATGAGTCTAAAACAACTATATCTACTAGATCACGTTCAATATATACAAAATGCATTAGCACAAGAATCTATGCTACAATCCAACCAATGGCATGTTCGATTCGCATATTAGATTCTGAATGAAAAACTCATACTCATAAGAACCGATAATTTAATTCTCTATGAATAAGCTAAAACTTTATACACTAAATCATCTATTATATAAGTAAATAGACACTATCAAACGAACAAATGATCTATTAAAAATCAATAAATTATTATTCAATAATAAATATTATATCTAAGCACATTGTAAATATCAATGCTTGTAGACATTGATTGAATTATTTATCAATGTTTTGGCTTGAGAAAGCAAAATAGAGTTTTTCTGTGTGCTGCTACCGGTTGAAACTAATATAAATTCAGAGATAATGGCGGGCAAGACTCAATAGTGAAGATTTGTTGAAATTTACTATATGGGTTGAATCTAGGAATGAGATAATTCGAGTAATTTATCATTTAATGACATTATCTAGGGATAATATATCTATTCAAATGTTTGGTTGTTAATTTAAAAGGATCTTGGACTCCCAGAGAATCCAAGGGACATGCGTTTAAGGGTTTGGAAGAAAAGAAAATGGAGCCTAGTAGTCCAAACGCTATCCAAACATCAATTGATTTGCTTACAATCAGTCTTTGCCTATTTGAGTTGAAACCTAAATTGCCATGAACACAGCCCTATAATATTTCCAAACTCGGTAGATAATATTCGTGTTTATTTCTTGTTATGTTACTCTGTTGCAGTGAATTTTAGTTGTACTAACCCCTCCCCCATTTGATATTTATAACAATGCGTGTTGAGACTTCAATTTGGTAGTTTCTTTGATTAGTAAAATCAAGAGAAGTTGATAACTTTGTTTTTACGTATCATAAACTATGTGTAATAATAACTAAATAAATAAATATTAATAGAGTTGTTTTGCTAACTTTGTTGTACGTATCATAAACTATATGTATAATAAATAAATATTAATTGTTATAAACAATTTGTATTATAGTGAATGTCTAATTATGTGCAGTCCTTGTAGAATATGGTTAGGAATTATACTTGGGGACCAAGTAAGGTTTTCCCTATAAATAAAGAGTTTTCCTTCATTGTAAATAAGATTTACGAATCCTGAATATACTTCAAGAGAAATAAGAAGTTTTTTCTCTTCTCCCTACTTTCTTCGTCTTTTAAATTTATATAGTTTCATAACACGTTATCAGCACGATTGTTCAATTCTTAAAGAATTATGAAGAAGACGGGAAAAGTGCAAAAGAGATCTTGCATAAGTTATGCAATAAGGTACTTATATCTTCAAGGTATGATTTATCTTTATGGTATAATTATTTATGTAACAAATCTGGAAGTACCATCTAGAGTAAGTATTTAAAGACACTTGTCGACTTTCTATACACTTAATTTTGATCGACTGGAAGAGAATTCCTTAATTTATTTAATAATTAAATAAGCACAATTTAGTGAAAGGTATGTTTTCACCTTTATATGAGGTATATGATCTATTAAGCCATATTTATTAACTACTAATGTTGATTATAATAAATCAATAATCTCAATTTTGTGTGTAATTATAATGTATGATCATATTAATGATCATCAAAAGTGATAAAATTACAATTATTTTGAAGGCTTGAGCTTGAGCCTCATTATGAGTAAGACGATAGATTTAAGTTTTACGGCACCAAAAGAATAAGACGATGAATTTATGTCCAATCGCAAAAAGAGGATAAGCATTAGGTTAAAGTCCTGATGCACCATGATGATAAGATATGGGTTCAAGATCCATCGATTTATGACCTAAGACGCTTTTCTATGGATAAGACATTGAATGTGAGTCTCAATGAACCATATTGATGATATAATAATGACTAAAGAAAAACTAACATATTTTTAATGAGAAGTCATGAAATCTACTAAATTTGCTCCATTACATAAAGTGAATATGATTGTAGTGCATAATATGTCTGAAAGAAGACAAGTGATTGAATAATGCACATAGATATTGAATGAGGTACTGAAGCTATCATTATTTGATATGCTCACATATTTGTGTTTCATTCATGAAGAATGAGAAATTTTGATAAATGGTAAAAATACAGATCCATTCTTTAGAGTGAATGAGCTGATAAGCCACCATACTAGACATGAATTTTCTTGTACTGCTTGTTAACAAGACAAGTTAATTGTGAGATCATCATAAACGAAAGTTGAGATTGAATTCTCTGCGTTCTAGGAACGTATACAGAAATTTGTGGACCTAGTCATCCACTTAGTGGATTGTTTAGATATTTAATGGTCCTAATAAATGTTTCTTCTATATGGTCTCATGTGTGCCTATTATTATTTCGCAAGTTGATGTTTGCAACAATGTTGGCACAAATAATATGTTGCACAATTTTCTTCAGATTAGTTCATTCAATGAGGTGAAGTAATTGAGAAAAAATAAATCTAAAAATTACTCTTGGATTAATAAAATTGAAATTTATGCATATAATATTGAATCAAAAATTTACTAAATCAAAAGGCACATGACGTAGTAAACTTGGAGTTTACGAGCACTAATAATTTTATCAGTTGGCAAGAATAATTTGGTCATCCCAAAGATGTGCATACTGAGTAATGGACATACATTGAAAAACTAGAAGATTCTTCAAGAATTCTTTTGTTGTTTATTCTCATTACAAGTTGATTGGATCAACTAATGTTGAGATTAAATCTCTAAATTCTGAAAAGTATAAAAGGAGAATATGAGTCCGTTCACCTATCATGTGACATGATAAAAAGATGCATCTATAAGATAATCACATGTGCGTTTGTTGTCAACCAGTAGTTTGACATTCACAAAATTGTTTGTGCAAAAATAATTGAGTTAAGAGTACAATTTCTAAATATGTAATCAAGACAATTTATCTTGATAGTATTGATAAACACTCAAGATGATGTGACACTAAATGTCTCAAATAGTAAAATCATTGTTTTTGAAAATAAAGCTTCATATGTTGATATGAAATACGATATTGCATACACAAGTAGTACGCATCAGACCGATAAATTATGATCAAATTTTCTTTCAATCGATTTATGGTCAAGGACCAAATATTTTTCGTCTGATTATTTTGGTATGTAGTATATAATCAACGAATATACAATGATGCACAAAGACATATTCTCCAAAAGATTGAGATATATATAAGTTTGTCTCACATAAGGGGGAGACTAGAAGCAACAGAAGAATTGTAAATACTCTTATTGAATGTCCCTTAATGATAAAGTCTATGATAGACTAATCACTAAATAAAATAATCCTTGAAAAAAGGGGAGGATCAAAGAATCAAAATGATCATAAATAAGAAGATAATGTGCTCTTGGAAAGACTACGACATAAAACTTTATGAAACCTCATGAAAGGGGTAGCTAACTAAAAATAATGAAGAGATGAGATCTGAATGATTTTTGTCGTATTGTGAATCGATACGAAATGATATATCATTGACGATATCTTTGATACGATTGCGCGCAATATTGTAAAAGATAATGAGGATATGAATTCTAGATCTATTAAAACATGCTTGTGTAGAAATAATTATCAAGTGAAAAGTGGAATGATGCATCTTGGTAAGCGTAAATCTTATTTGACTTGCAATCTAGGCACTAGAAGATGTCATACATCTAATATCGAATGTTGTCACTTGACAAAACTAATATGAAAATATCCAATGGGTTCGAAATCTAGCATATACAAGGTTTTGAAAAAGTTGTTTATCATCCTCATAAGGATTAAATAGATTTAAAATGCATAGAGCATATACAAGTATAATTATGCAAGTTGATGACTAGAATTGAAACTCTAGAAGAGTTTTCAAAAGGCAATAGATTATTTCCGTAAAGAAGTTAAAGTAAAGAACTTGCAGAAATCTTTAATCTTGAGGGAAGTTTCATAAAAACAGATAGAAGAAAGCATATTTCGTCAAGGTTTTTCCACACTCATGAGCTCCGAAGAAAGGTGATATCAACATGCAACATGTTTGTTCAAGTAATACTATAATTGATATATCTACCAAGTCTCTACCAACTACAACTTTCAAGAAGATGATGCTCAAGATTGGAAAACGAAGATTCAAGTATGTGAATTGATGTTGTCATTAAGGCAAGTTAATACGCGATATACTATTTTTTCCTCACAAGATTTTGTCCCACTGGGTTTTCCTTGTAAGGTTTTTAATGAGGCATCCATAATGCGTATTATTGGATATATGTACTCTTTTTCATTCACTAGATTTTTTTCCCACTGGGTTTTATCTAGTAATGTTTTAACGAGACACATAATCTACGACATTCAAGGGGAGTGTTATAAACAATTTGTATTATAGTGAATGTCTAATTATATGGAGTCCTTGTAGGATATAATTAGGAATCCTACCTGGGGACCAAGTAAGGTTTTTCCTATAAACAAAGGGTTTTCTTTCATTGTAAATAGGATTTGTGAAAGATTTATGAATCGTGAATATAGTTCAACAGAAATAAAAAATCTTTTCTCTTCTCCCTACTTTCTTCCTCTTCTAATTTATATAGTTTCATGACATTAATAGAGTTATTTTTTGCCTTTTTGGGGCTGGGCTTGACATAATAAACCTTCAAATGAAAAAGAGAATAATAAATAATAAATAAAATGCAGGGGAAATGAAAAAAACCAAACAGGGCCTTATATAGACCGGCGTGAATATAAAAATAAGGTGAGCAGCTAGGTTTTGTTTCTGATAAAGAGAGCGAGCAAGGGAGAGAAGAGCTTAAATTGAGGCGCTTAGTAACTTCTCCCTCTCTCTTTGTTGGCTTGTTGAATCTCCTTCAGGTTCAGTTCCACTCATCATTCATTATGAGCAACGGGAAGGACAACTTCAGTGTTGCCGATCTCAGCGCTGGTAAAACCCCTTATCCCTTTATATACTCTTTTCCATATTTGGCATTAGCCCCCACTTATTTGTTCTTTCTTGTTATATATCTCTAATTAATATCTTTTCTGCAGCTTTGAATGCGGGGGACCGAGCAGACCTTGTCAATGTACTCAAAGTGAGTTGAGTCTTTTTAATACGTCTTTTAAATGTATGAATTTTTGGCTGACGTTGTGGTGCGTTTTATTTGAAGAGTAAACTTCAGGATCTTACTGGGAAACACTCAGATGTACTTGAAAATTTGTCCCCCATTGTCAGGAAGCGTGTTGAGGTTCTCAGGGAGATTCAGGCACGTTCAAAACTTTTCTTTTATGCCACTTCACTCTTATTATCCTGTACATTTCTTATCTACCTACAACTCTACTCTTTTGGGAATTATTTTACGTATTTCACTTTCAAATTTGTTCTGTACTGCCAGATAGTTGCAAATTAGTTCGTTGCTAATTTGTTCTGTGCCAGATATTTTATGCATCTATGTTATGAACCTGCAACGTTTAAATCAGACATCACCAGAAGTTTGATTTAACCATTTTAAAAATATTGTTTTTCCTATTTTGTGCATAATGAATTTTTGATCTTTCGCACTCCTTGTCGTGGACCTTGTTCAAAATCCTCTGTAATTGAAGAGTTTACTTAAAGAATAGTTCTTCACTCGGTTTTTATACAACACATATTCTCTTTGTGCATGATAAATTAGCTTGAGAATTTGTTTTATTTGAACAAGCATCCATGGAAAATGTTATATCAAGTCAAAGCACCTGACTAATTGGAAGGACTTGGATATCTTAATTAGATTATCGCTATGCTATCTTTCATTGATTAGTTTTGTTTCTGATGTTATACCAAATGTTTGTGTTTTATTCTCTAAATGAAAGAAAAAAGTTTGTTTTTTATTCTTTGACTTAGACTGAAGCACAATTTTGCATTGTACTGTGAAGTGGTTATCCAAGGATAACCTTTGCTGATACTCCGTTCAGATAAAAGCTAAGTCTGTAGTCTTCTCTTACAACAGGACTATATTACTAAGAAGTTAAGTCTGTAGTCTTCTCTTAAAATAGGACTATATTACTAAGCTGACTTTCAGAGGCGTATTTAACTACAATGCAGATAACATGGAACACTTGGATTAGTCATAATGTGCACTTTAGTGTCTCATTAGTTTACTGTTTATTATGTGCATTAGTTTTCAAGTTCTGTTTAACTTAAAACTGAATTTGGATACCCTTAGAAATGTTGTTATTTGTGGAGGCAATCTTCTTGATGCTCAAACTGTGTGTTTATCTGGGTTGTTGGCTTTCTTTTAAACGTTCTTGCTTTTGTGTGATTTTTATATTTGTGATCAGGAGTGATGAGTTCTTCCTCTTTCTTAATTGTGCAGACTCAACATGACGATTTGGAGGCAAAATTTTTTGAAGAGAGAGCTGCACTTGAAGCCAAATACCAGAAGCTTTATCAACCATTATACACAAAGGTTTGTGCCACAGGATATACATTTAACACTAGTACAACATATGCGTTGTTTCTGTGGTATGGGATGTATAGTCAATGTTGTTAAAATACTCATTTGCAGAGATTTGAAATTGTGAATGGGGTTATTGAAGTTGAAGGGGCAACAACCGAGGCTGCAGTAGCAGACCAGCAAGTGGATAAGGATGCAGTGGGTATGTTAACTAACTATGACATTTGAGTTGATTGATTCTTTGGTATGGTCAGTATTTAATCCAGTTGGCTTTTAATAGAGAAAGGTGTCCCTGATTTTTGGCTCACGGCTATGAAAAATAACGATGTGCTATCTGAGGAGGTAATTGTTAGGTGCTTTACTGTTGTTACTACAACAGTTCCATTAATTGTCAGTCCACTCATATCAATATGGTCTGTTTTTGTCAATGCAGATTACCGAGCGAGATGAAGAAGCTCTCAAATTCCTCAGGGATATAAAGTGGTCCAAGATTGATGATCCAAAGGGTTTCAAGCTTGAATTCTTCTTCGAGAATAATCCTTACTTCAAAAACACTTTGCTGACTAAAACCTATCACATGATTGATGAAGATGAACCAATTCTGGAGAAGGCAATTGGGTGTGTCACTACATTATTATTTGCACCGCAACCAAAGTTTATTGATTGATTGATTTTTGACATAATTATTGTCTCCCAGCGGTTTCTCATGTGTTCTCCTCAATCTATAGGACTGAGATAGAATGGTATCCTGGAAAATGCTTGACACAGAAGATTCTAAAAAAGAAGCCAAAGAAGGGGTCAAAGAATGCCAAGCCTATCACTAAAACAGAGCAGTGTGAAAGTTTCTTCAACTTCTTTTGTCCTCCTCAAGTACCGGAGGATGAAGAGGATATTGATGAAGATGCTGTAAGTACTGCTATATGCCTATATCCTTTGTTACATATCTCTTTTGGAGTTCAATTTATCTATAACTATATCCTTATATTGACAGGCTGAAGAACTTCAGAATTTGATGGAACTAGATTATGATGTTGGGTAAGTCTATCTGATGGTAATTTACACAAACATATATTATGACTGTAAGAAAGTGGTGCTGATGATCTTTGTTTTTTCTCCTATAAATTCATGAAGGTCAACAATTCGAGATAAAATCATTCCACATGCAGTTTCATGGTTCACTGGGGAAGCTGCTGAGGATGATGATTATGCTGACTTGGAAGATGACGAGGATGAAGATGATGAAGAGAATGAGGAGGATGAAGAAGATGAGGATGAAGAAGAAGATGAGGACGAAGAGGAGGAAGAAGAAGATACCAAGACCAAGAAGAAGGTACTTAGTTTAACTTTTCCTGCTTCAATTTTTAGCAAGTAAATAATCTTTTGGAAATGAAATGATTATGAAAGCTAACACCTTTCCTCCGTTGCTTGAAATGTCACTGCAGTCAGCTGCTGCTCGCAAGGTACGATCTATGAACTCATATTTTTTTGTTAATTTCATTCAAGATTCTGTCTTGCATACCTTGATAGGAACCTAATTGTTGATATTCATAACATCACAGAAGAGTGGAAGAGCTCCTGTTGGAGATGGTCAGTCTGGTGAGAGGCCACCAGAGTGCAAGCAACAGTAGCTCTTCTTAATGAAGAATGGTTGGATATGATAGTGTCTTGAGAAGTTGGATGAGATAGTAAAAAATTTGTGCAATTTTGATGGTTGGCTTGTTATATATGGAGTTGTGCTTAGAACAATCTGTTAGAATCATTTTTCTTTTAATATTATCTTTTATTCGCTCCCAGTCATTTTTGGTCTTTTTATATTCCTTCAATTTTCGAGGGAGATAGAATGTGATTGAGAATAGCATAACCTATTTTTGTGATTTGTTCTTGGATTTGGATAATTCAATTTTTTCATGAGGTTTTATTTGACGAGTCAATTTATAGTCCGTACAATTTCTTGGTTTTGGTTGGAGATGAAATTCTAATTATATTAGTTTTGAAACAACGTCAAAATTTTTATGAAATCATTTTTACAAGTCGGATACAGGGTGTGTTTGGTATGGAGGAAAATGTTTTCCTACTCTCTTTTGTTTGGTTGCAACATATTTTGTTGGAAAAACATTTTCCTAAGCGACTTGTTTTCCTTAAATCAGCGGAAAATGACTTCTGGAGTGATGTTTCTCCATTATTTCTCCAGCTTGTTTCTCTCCAAGTTTAGGTTTTCCGTTCTTTTCATTCATATTCCTATAAGAATTTTGATGGTATGCGTTTAATAATTATAGTATGGTTTTTGATTGCGAAGTTCTTCAAGATATTCATCTTTCACTTGCTTTTTGCTGAAATAGTTGCTCGTGTTTGAATTTGACTTTATTTGGTGAATTTGTTTATTGAATTTGATATTTTTTGGTTAACCTATGAATTGAGGTCTTTTGTTATTGATTATTTCATATTTTTCTTAGATTTGACTCAAGTATGTTTGATTGTGTGTGTAATGTTATCTGTTCACTCTTTGATAGTTGAACCAGAGATATGTAGATCTGAAATAGGATTTTAGATTCTAGTTTGTGGATTCTAAAGGGAAAGTTGAAAAGATTTATTGGGTAATTTGGAGGAAAGACATTTTTAATTATGTGCTGGTTTTGGTATTGATTTCCTCAAAATTGATCAGTTGTTCCTATATGCCTTGACAAATTTTCTTATTATGTTCTTTTCTTTTTTATATCATAGACGCAGTTGGAACAAATGGATATGACAAACAAAAATGAAGATGATGCAATAGTTGGAGCTGTAGATATATCTATTTTAGCTTTCGGAGTTGCAATTAATGTGCCTATGAAAATTAAAGTAGTATATATAGAGAACCTTATACGAATAACGATCAAGAAAGGGAATTTTACATGAACAGTATTTTGGATGGAAGTGATGTAAATTGCATACGACATATAAGGATGAGCAAACATGTGTTTTATGAACTATGCAATGCTCTTAGAAGAAATAATTTGTTGCTTTCAACCAAAGCGTGTATATTCAAGAACAAAGTATTAATATTTTTAGAGATTGTTGGTTTTAATGAACAATTTCGCAAGGTTGGATCACACTTCTATAGGTCAATCAAATCTATTCTTCGATGCTTTCATATGATACTTCAAGTAATTTTGAAGCTCTACCCTTTTCTTATAAGACCACCAGATGGTACTATTCAACTGGAGATAAGGAAAAACTATCGATATTATCCATGGTTTGCTGTAACTGACATACTAAAATTTCAAAACTTAAATCATTTTATGAAAAGTAGTACATAATATTAACTTAGTTGTATATAAAATTGTGTAGGAGCAATTATTGACACACATGTAGTTGCATCTGTTCCCGTTGAACAACAAAGTAGATTTCATGGTCGAAAAAGCACATAGAGGTAAGAAATGAATCGAACCATAGACGCTAAGCTACTATCCTTTCATTCTAAGATTGATTCAACTAGAAACTGAAAATGAATAATCCTAGTTCTACAATCAACTGAGGCATAACACGAATGTAACCAATCCATGCCTAGAATGACATCAAAGTCTACCAGTTTTAATTCTACAACATCTGCTGAGGTTATTTTTTGGGAAGGTGTGACATGACGATTTTTGTGTACCTGTCTAGCTATAACTGGGTCAATGGCTAGAGTAGAGACCGAGAATGGTTCTGAGAGTGTTTCTGAAATAAGACTAAACTTTCCTGTTATATATGGAGTTACAAAGCAAAGAGTAGCCCCTGTATCAAACAAAATATAAAAATCGAGAATAAAGACTCATAATGTACCAGTGACTACATCACAAGAATCTTCCTGATCTTTGCATGCCTTAAGAGCATACAATCTGTTCTGGCACTGATCGCCGCCACCTGTACCAGATGAGTTACCTTGCTAAGTCGGGTGGCCTGCTAATGCTGCTGAAGTTGTAGATTGAGTTCTACTAGCATTGCCTTCTTAACCCTGTTTAGAAGGACAATCCCTCAACTTGTGGCCAAACTGACCACACCCAAAGCATTCTTCCTTTCTTGCATAACACTCGCCCGGATGGTTCTCACTACACTTAGGGCAAATTGGGTAGGTTTTGGTACCTGGAACACTTCCTATTTACTTAGAGCCTGATGCCCTACCTTTCTTATCATAATTGTTCTTGGAGGTCGGAACACTAGCTGATGAAGGGGCTGGAGTTGAAACTTCTGCTGACACTGCGAGCGACTTCCACCACCCAATTTTCGTTGAGAATAATCATAATTCCTAGTCCTAGCCTTCTTGTTCTCCTTTAATTGTTCCCTAAGCTTATCACCCTCAACTTGCTAAGCATGAGTCATAAGCCTAGCAATGTTCATATCTCCCAATAATATATCATTTCTGCACTCTATATTCTCTAAATATGAAACTCATACAAGAACTTATTCATCTCATCTCTTGAATCAACAACCATATGAGGATCATACCAAGAGAGTTGGGTAAACTTGAGCCCATACTCGTGGACCATCATATTAACTTGTCTCAGGTTAATAATTCCTGATCTTTTGCCTCTCTTAAATCTCTTTGAAAGAACTTGTCTAGAAGGTTTCGCTGAAGCAATCCTAAGTAATAGAAGCGGCATTTGTACCCCTGTTCTCTTTCCATTGCCACATATTTCAGCTAGTAAGATATGAACTCAACCCAAACATTTCCAGTGACCTGCATGACCTCAAATATATTCTTGATCTTATCTAGGAAATTTTGGGGATCTCAACTTGTCTATGATCCTAAGAACTTAGGAGGATTCATCCTAACAAAGTCACGGACCCTCACTTCCGCTGATCCACCATTTGCATTCACAAGATCTTGAACCCACTAAATGTTCTGGTTTGCCACTCTCTAAGACAACATCTGGATGATATTCCTAAATTAATCATTTGAAACGTCTTGATCTGGGACTGGAGGAGCTAGATTTGTGTACCTCATATTAGCTCTATGAGGAGACATGATTACTGAAACATAGAACATCAAATGATAATGTAATTACATCATACCTTACACACAATAGGAGCAACAAGAAAATGAAGATTTTTCCTAAAATACTTTGTACCCTCCCTATCATTAGCTGTGATGCACTTCACACACATGAAAGGACTCTACTTAGTGTGACTTTTCAGACATCCTAGGACACTTAAACCTAGTTCTTTGATACGAGTTTGTCAAGCCCCGAGCTACCTAAGACACGGACACGAGACCTACTATCATAACTAACTCCAAATTAACCTTGCTGGCATAATCATGAGCATACTAATGATAAACTGATAAATAAGACTGTTGTATAAGCTAATAATAAGTAAATCTGAAATAATAGGAAATACCCATATACTAAATTGAGTATATAAAATCCGAGAGTTTCAATACAGAAAAATATCAAACGCAAAAGACGAAGTTGAATCTATGTCTCAATTAAGACTTTAAATTGACTAGAAATGTTGGGACATGCCCAACTAGATCTAGCAAAATTAAAACTAAAGACTAAAAGTGATAAAGATAAACATGTCACTAGTCCTCAAAGAATAAGGACTCAACACAACTGTTGTTAAACTGAAGTTCTGGAACTGATCTGAGTGTGATTCGTATGTTGAGAACCTAAACCTACATGACGAAAAGATGTAACACAGAGTGTGCATCAGTAATTGAAGGGTACAAATAATTTAGGATAAAATAAGGCTGAAATATCATATAACTAAACAAAACAATAAAGCAATGATATAATCTTAAAATGATATAGATACTGAATATTGAACTAATTGAATAAGATGATCAATTTATAAAATCTGAAACTAAATAATGAATGTACTGATAATTGGTCAATGCAATAGAATTTGATTGAATTTTGGGAGCTACTAATAACTAGTAATAAAACCACATAAGCTAAATCTGGAGTATGATTTATACACCCCATCGAGAGGACCCAATAACCCGGCCAGAGGTGTAGAGGGATGCTAGTGTGATCACTAAAATGATCCCACATAGGGGACATACAACCTACGTACCTAGTAGTTATGGAACTGTATGGGGGACTGACCCTTGCCTAACTAGGTATTATGCTACTCCCCATAGATTAAGTGGTGAACACATTATAACTGGAATTCTATAACGCTGAATAACTCAAAAATGAACATGCAAACTAAGAAGGCAACAATTAGTTTGGTAATGATGCATTGATAACTATTGAGACCTAACTTTGGTAATTCAAAAACTAAATAAATACATAGACAGGGTTTTGAAATTCATTCAATAAACTTATTTATAACATGCTAAACTAATTTGTATCATTTATATAAGTAATTCATGATAATCTTCTGAAATTCTAGAAACCCTAGGTTTGTTCCTAATAATGGAATCAAGAAACTGACTGAATTCTAGGGTCCTAATGGATAAAAGGAATCCACTAGTGAAATCGCACATACTTGTTGATAAGTTACATGGAGAAATCTTTCGATTTCGGGGCTAGAACTGATGGATCCTTGTTGCATTCTTGCACTAAAGTTCTTGACCTCTTTTCTCCTCTTACGCAATAAGTTTCTAAGTTTTGATGAATGAATTGACTTAGGTAAGTTCTAGTTATGTTTCTAGGATAAAACTAAACAAAATCGCGTAATTTAGGAGTCCAACACATAAGGAAAAGACCAAAATACCTCTGACTTCAAATTTGCTAAAGTGACCTACAGACTTATCAAAGATCCATCGATGGATCCACGGTCCGTCCTGTCAATCCGTCAATGACATCAAAAACTAGGTTCTGAGGGTCTCGACCTAAAAAATGACCAAATATCGCTCGATGGATCCACAATCCGTCAAGTCCATTTGTCGATCAACTTTAGAGATCACGTTCTGAAGGCCTTGACCTAAGGATTGATCGACGATCCGTCGGTAGATCCACGATCCATCATGTCAGCTCATAGGTCATGCCTTAGAATGGTTTTCATCTAAATTTCTTGGATGGTTGCAGATGCAAACCACAGACCATCAGCATGGGCCGTGGGTGGCAATTGTGGGTTGCACTTGTAACTTATGGAAATTTTCATTCAGTTTCTATTTTCCGATGCAAAGTGTTACATTCCCATTATTTTCCCCTTCTTTACGAACCTCATAAAATCCTTTGTGGGTGAAACCTTCAAATACACCAAATTATCCTCCTCAAACTCTAAGTCTTTTCTCCTAACATCGATATAGAATTTCTAATAAATCTGCGTTGTTTCAACCTGCCTTGAATAGTCTTAACGTTCTCCATGGATTGATGAACCAAGTCTTGTCCTATCAACCCACCCTCACCAACTTCAAATCATCCAATATAAGATCTACATCTTTTTCCGTAAATAACATCATATGGAGGTATCTCGATGCTAGAGTGATAAATGTTCTTGGAAGCAAACTCGACAAGAGGTATCTGAGCATCTCAATTAACCTGAAATATATTGCACACGCACTCAACATATCCTCTAAAGTCTCAATTGTACGCTCTACTTGACCATCAATATGAGGATGGAAAGAAGTTCTCAAATTTACCTTCGAACCCAAACTTTTCTGGAAACAATTTCCAAATTGTGTGGTGAATTACGCACCTTTATATGAAATAATGGACAATAATCCAAATCTAATCATGATGCATGTGAGACCAAGGTAAAACAATAAAGTGATCAATAATAATCATCTCCAACTTCCATTTCGGATGTTCTATGTTATGAGCGATACCACTGGCCTCTTATGATTTACCTTGACTTTTTTTATAATTTGGGCACTTAAGAATGAACTATACAACACTTCTATTTATACTATTCAATCAATAGACGTCTCTCAAGTCTCGATATATCTTTGTGGAACCCGGATGGATAAAATATCTGGAGCTATGAGCTTTCTCCATGACTCTCCCTTGGAGTTCATCGACCCTTGGTACAACCAATATACCTTGTTACCTCTATACTCCATTTACTCTTGTTCAAAATCTATCACTTTTGGCTTATGAACATTTGCCTTCAACTCAAGAAAAAGAGGGTCTTGGTCTTGTT